AAAAACACACACGAATATACACCCAAGACTGAGAAGCACCCGCGCGCGTGTGTGTGTGTGTGTGTGTGTGTGTGTGTGTCGGTGAATCTCCTGCGTGCGGCAGACCTGCTGCTTCAGTGTCGGTGGTCTCTCTGCTGGTCGGCTCGCCATGACGACCACCTCCAGATATGGGAGATGACAAAGTGGATGGTTCTGATCCATTGGCCTCCGAGTCGTCCTTGGGCTAAAGAAGTAGGAATGGGATTCTTTAGTTTGTTTTGGTTTTTAATTCGTCACAGTAGTGGATCGGAGCATTGTGTATCCAATGTCACTTGATTGGTAACGAAACTATTATTTATTTATTGCAAATGATTTGTATTCGTTCGTCAAATGCGTGACAGAGTAATTAAATCCTCTTCCACTAGGTGGCAGCAGATGGTTTTTAAAACTAAGAAAAGATAATTAGAACTGTTGAAGAGGATCTTTGTGAGTGTCTTTCTTCAGTTCCTGCCACTATATGAGCGTTGTCTTCAAATAAACAGGAGTAGACTTTTAGTCAATTTAAATTAGAATATTATTATATTTTATTACATGAGATTTTTGTTTGGTGAAACACTGCACTAGACATCTTATTGCTGTAACTAATTAAACTATTGCGGTTAGATTGTGTAAAAAAAAAAGTAATTTGTTATATTGTTAACTGGTCAGTATTTGTCATGTGTTTTTTATTGGCACAAAAAAGCAGTAATGATAACAAACAAATGCCAAAAAATAAATAAAATAAAAAAATACTACATTATTTGCACATAGTTTCTGTTGTAAATTCCAGTTTTCTGCAGCCTGGATTTAGATACAGTTAAATCGTATTTTTCTAAATTCACTCTTTATTCTAACACTTGCCTAGACGAACCTTGTAACAATACTCATCTCACTGCTGGAGTACATGTACAGCTAAATCAAAACCATGGCGGGAGCGAGGTCCGGAGTCGGACTTTAGGAAACAACGGCAGCCACACACTGAAGGAGGACGTCTCCTCCATTACTCAGTCATTAACCTGTCCTTTACATTCTTCACTAAAACGTCCTTTCTCACACCAGCGTTTCCTTGACACTGTGTGACTCATGTGTTTCTGTACTATTTCCGCAGCGAAGGGCTGAACTCCCACGTCTCCTTTATCTCATCATATCTGCAGAGACGAAAGAAAGCTTGTCTTTTTGTTTGTCGAGAGTCATCTTTGTCTTCGTGTCTTACGAATGAATGCAGTTTATTTCACTGATGACTCTGGGATGACTGCTGGGATTTGACGATTTGAATGTAAATGTCCGTTGTGTGTGTGTAGTGGTGCGCTGTGTCACAATGACAACTAATTCACTTTCACTTTTATACGTTCAATATGATTAGTGTTAAACACAAGTCAGGGGGATTCAGGGATATTTAGGTGTTTTTTAAATATTTTTATTCTGTTTTTTTTTTTATTTTATGTCTAACTCTTCCATTTTTTTATAAAGTCTTCTTTGGGTAAAATTTGGCAGTTCTCAAACATGAGAAATGAGAAATGGTTTTGGTTTGCTTTCTACTGCTTCAGTTACTGCATTACCAAATATGTCCACTAGACGGCACCAAAACCTTTGTTTTCAAGAACTTTATTTATGCATATATATATATAAAGTAGAATCTCTGCGACCAAAAATATCAACTCTTATATTTTTTGGATTTACCATTCTCACCTGTAGGAGGAGCTCCCTGAGTCTACGGAGCTGAGACTCCAGCTGCTTGTTGTGGTCTTCCAGAATCTGCATCCTGGTCTCTAGACGGGTCTTATGCTGACGAAGAACCCGAGCTTCGGCCAGGAGCTCCTCGTCCTGGACTGTGGGAGAACCTGGCCTTTCTCCAGCCTCTGTCAACATCGGGACCGACGTTGCCTCGTCGTGCTTCCACTTGAGACGCCGGTACTCGCTCTGAAGAACCCTGTGGACAAACATCATTCATTTGGCGACACTGTGACAAACACGGTGAGAAAAGATGAGGACAGAAACCTGTTCTCATTCTCCAGGTGGGTCAGTGTCCTCTGAAGTTGCTCTTTGTCCTGTTGCTCCAAGTGGGACAGCAGAAGGTGTTGTCCACATGGGGAATCCTGATCCAGGGCTGGACTGGATCGACGCAGAAGGTACTGGTCTTCATCGCTGAGACATTTGGACACAGGAGAAAGACACTGAGATGCTTCAAGCAGAGGAGAAGAAACTCACTGTCATCATCAATTTGACTAATATTTAGTTGCACTGTTAGGGTTGCAGACCCATCATGGCGACACTGTGACAAACACGGTGAGAAAAGATGAGGACAGAAACCTGTTCTCATTCTCCAGGTGGGTCAGTGTCCTCTGAAGTTGCTCTTTGTCCTGTTGCTCCAAGTGGGACAGCAGAAGGTGTTGTCCACATGGGGAATCCTGATCCAGGGCTGGACTGGATCGACGCAGAAGGTACTGGTCTTCATCGCTGAGACATTTGGACACAGGAGAAAGACACTGAGATGCTTCAAGCAGAGGAGAAGAAACACAGAATATAGGAAAGAACCGACGGGACATTTAAAGTGTTTCACTGTCATCCTCAATTTGACTAATATTTAGTTGCACTGTTAGGGTTGCAGACCCATCAAAAGTCAAATTGAGATGTAATAAAATACACAAAAAAAAAAAAAATGTAGGAATTAGGGTTAAGATTAAGATTGTATGTCTTAGTGAAACACACTCAAAAATGTGTGCGTTTGCGCTCTGGGTGTTTTTCTTTTATAAAATTCTTTGCTGCTCACAGAGACTCATTTTCATTATGTGGTTGTTTAATCAAGTGGACACAATTACAACCTCACTGTTAAAACACACGCACGCACGAACACGCAAACAAAGAAAACACACCGCAATGCAAAGAAAACTGACATGCACACCAAAAACACACACACACACACAATTACCATGAAAGCTTTTGGCCGTAACGTCAGAGGGTGATAGCATACTCACAGACTTTCATCAGGAGAGAGGCTGTCGGTAAAAAATGAACAATTCTGGCTCTCCATTTCTGCAAGTCTACAAACACAAACACACACACACAGAGGAAAATGTAGGAATATTATTAGGAAATGCAGCCAAATAGAGACACGAGTTCAAACGGAGCGCGCTGAAAATGAAAGCCAGACCCTATGACATCGTTGATAGTACAGACATTACAGGCTAAAACGGAGACACAGACAAACGTATGAGTCACAGCGTCGCAGAAAATCGATCGCATGTAGAACCCCCATAAAACCTTGCATTCTGTCTGTCAGCTGTGGGCCAGGATGTAGCTATGGTATTAAAGCAGCACCATGGACAGAGTCTGGAGTTTCCCCAGGATCAGGACCAGGGACAGAGTCAGTAGTTTCCCCAGGATCAGGACCATGGAGAGAGTCAGGAGTTTCCCCAGGATCAGGACCATGGACAGAGTCTGGAGTGTCCCCAGAATCAGGACCAGGGAGAGAGTCTGGATTTTCCCCAGGATCAGGACAAGGAGAGAGTCAGTAGTTTCCCCAGGATCAGGCCCAGGGACAGAGTCTGGAGTGTCCCCAGGATCAGGACCATGGACAGAGTCTGGAGTGTCCTCAGGATCAGGACCACTATTTGAGCAACAGTGTTATAGTTGGACCTAACGAGTATTCCTTTTAGGAGAGCCAAGAACCCTAAAGTCGCCTTGATTTTTGCAGAAGTGCGTGACGTGTCAATAACAGGAAAAAAAAATTCCCCAAAAAATTAAATTTTCTTAGTTTTAAAAACCATTTGCTGTCACCTAGTGGAAGAGGATTTAATTACTCTGTCACGCATTGACAAAGAAATGACAAATTATTTGCAATAAATAAATAATAGTTTTGTTACCAATTAAGTGACATCGGATAATTTTCCAAGTCCAAACTTAAGCACAAAAAGGTTGTGAAGCGTTTTTTTACCTGCTGGCGTAGTGTTCGATTCTGCTGTGAGTGTCAGCATGAGGGAGCCTTGGTGAAGAACATGGCCTGAAAATCAAGACCAGAACCAGCATTGGAACTTCATTGACTGGATATTAAAAAGAAAAACCTACCAGGATGTGTGGATGCGTTAGGTGAGGCACTCACGTCTCCGAGGTCTCCGACTCCAGCACAGACTGCACTGGGAGGTAACCTCTCTGGGGGTGTTTGCTAAAGTACTGTTTTGACCTGAACTTGTTTTTCAAAGTTTTGGCAAAATCCCTCATTTTCTCCCCTGAAGTGCTCTGTAGAGGAGGGAGGAGTACGGAGGGAGGAGGAGAGAGGCGGACCAAAACAGGAGATTGATGATGAGCGACTGATTAGTCAATTGTTTTTATCTTGTTTTAAATACAGACTGAAAAACACACGGGAAAAAAAAATGTTAATTTCCTTCTGAAGCGTCACATTTCTTTTTTTTTTTACACCTACATATCTGACAGAGAATTTCGCTTACAAAGAAAGACTGATTCTGCTCTTACTGGTGTGTAGTACTCCATAATGGGATAGTGCAACTTCTTTCCTTTGGAGGTGCGGCCAGTTAGAAAACACGTCTGGCAGATGTCCACGTTGAACTGTTTCAGACTACGGTACCTGTCCAGATGGATGGAGGAAAAGAACAATTTTTTTGAATCTTAATTTCTAGCACAAAACAGAGCAGATTTTCTTTTTTAGTTCCAAATCCAAAAATAGTTACTTTGAGGGCAAATGGGCAGGTTTGTAGGTTTCTTGAAGATGTTTCACCTTTCATCCAAGAGGCTTCTTCTGTTATGGGATGAGAGGTGAAATGTCTTCAAGAAACCTACTCAATCCAGTTGCCATCGATGAAAAACATTTTTTTTCCCTATTATTCCGGCTACTCAATCCAGTTGCCATCGATGAAATGTTTTTTTTCCTATTATTCCGATTAATACAGCAGACCAATGGACAAATTCTAACAGTAGATCCAAACCCTGTCTCAAATTTTCTACCTAAACCAAATCTAATTTTCTAAAAAAGGAGAAAAATTCTTTTGCATTTCATCGTAACATGATTGGAGAAACGTCGCTTGAAGTTTAAGCTCACAGACCTGAAGCCTTTGATGGGAAACTGTTTGCAGACGTAACATTTTGCCTGATGTTTGGTCGACTCTGCGGCAGTCACGCGGTGGAGGACAGGAAGCCAAACCATGGACTGAGGTTCCAAACTCGTCCACTCTAGAAAATGTGACACTTCGATGGCAGGTTTCCCTGGAGCCTGTAGGTAAAGATAGAAAAAATGAAAAGGAAAATGGAGGCCAGAAAGCTAAGAGCAACAGCAGGTAAAAGCTGTGACTCAAACGGATGAGCGTGTAGCATAATTCAAGTGATGTCAGATAATAATTAGGATTTCCAGTAAAAATGCTGAAATAGAAAGGTTAAAAAAAATGTGCATCAGAACTACACAAAATATCCCTTTTCACTCAGTAAATCAAAGAAAATTCACATCTTAACTTGGTTTCAATTTTTCCCTTACCATACGAAAGCAGCTCCTGACACTGGGGTCGACGTTGCTGCCTCCAAAAGCGGCCACTTCTCCGAGCTGTCGGGGGATCTGAATGGCTTCATGTAGCAGCAAACTGAGGTGACGCTGGTCTGTCAGACCGCCAGGTCCAGAAACCTGACGGAAAAGGTCTGAAAGGACGGAAAATGTAAGGCTTTTCGTCAGTGAAACTGAGTGTATTTTCGAGCGGACTAAAATATTTGTTTTTCAGCTGCGGGCTCCAAAACTTATATAAATCATATTATTTATTCATATTCGATTTTGTTGTCAGATAGATTGTTTTTTTTTTCTTCTGCTTCTCTGCAAAATCTGTGCATACTCCCAACCTGGAAGGCCATCCTGCATAAACCTGTGCAAAAGTTCTGTGGTGTCTTCTTATAAAGGTTAAAAGGTGAAAGAAAACAATATTTTGATCCGACTTATCCAAAAATGAAGTGTACATAAATAGGGATAAGTCGATATTATCGGCCCGATATTAGCATAATTATGAAATGTTGGTATTGTTTTTACCTCCAACAATAAACTTACACCTATGTTTTGCCAGATATGCTGAAATCGCTTCAGAAAATATATTTTGGACAGACAATGCTAATTTGTGGAATGCATTTCGTGGGGCATCACAATAAAAGTAGGTAATGCGGCAATTAGCATATTCATTTTACGCTAGTCAATTCTGATGAGCGAAAAAAATTTTAAACCTCCAGCATTTATCAGGCAGTGGTAGAAGATGATGCATAGCGACTCGTATTGAATCTCTGAGACCACTGTGACCCACATAGCGTGTGACAAAATCTATAACAACATCTATAACACATGCTACATAGATCCATAGACGTCACTCAAACATTTTCCAGAACTACCTATTTACACCTGCTCTGAGGAGAAAAAAAAATTCATCTTCTTCTTGGTGATGGTGTTCTTGGCAGATATTGCTCTCTGGATGGCTGCAGTCATTTACTCAAGTGAAAAAGCTTTTTCTCTCTCACAGCAGCAGCAGTATCAGCAGCAGCAGAAGAAGAATCATTTCCTCCATTAAACTAAGTGCACGTCCTTACGGGCAGCCAATGCCTTTTCTGTTGGCTCAGAGCTCGTGTTTGAACAAACGAGTAAGAAACAAACATGTCACTCACATTTGTATTTGTCTTGAACGTCGGCGTTGCACAGACTCACCAGACCCATCTTAAAGCTTAGGACTCGCATTTTTCCATTACGAGCACTGGAAGAAGGACAGAAAAGGAGCGGAGTCATGAATGAATGTAACCAAACATGGAGGATATCATACTTTAAGGCAGTGGTTTTTAATTATATATTCTGTCATGCGCCCTCTTGAGGACAGAAATGTTTCGACCCGTGCGCCCTCTTGAGGACAGAAATGTTTCTACCCACACACCCCCCGGGAATTAAAATACTATAGAAAACCTCATAACGTGCATGTTTTTCATCTGTACAAACCACTGGGTGAATTGCTGCCCCCTAGTGACTGGAGGCTTGTTATCATTCAATCATTACAGCAGTGGTACACTTATGTCCAGGGTGTCATATTCCATTGGAGGCCCCTCGCTTTTTCAATGATCTCAGAAGCATGTGATCAAAAACACACCAAGTCGTGGATTATAAATGTGAGGAGAAGCTCAGACTCGATCTATTATAGACAGCGCAACACACAAGCCATTGTTGTCTCTGTCCGACCAAAGTATTACCAATTTTTAATGAGGTACGGAAAGATTTAAAGCCAACCGTTAGAGGGAGAGGAAATGGAGAAGAAAAACAAGAGGCTAGAGTTATGACTGAAGTCATTAATCCAAGCCAGACATGGAGCCACCGCTGGTGAACTTGAGCACAATCAATGCACTGGGCGGAACGTTGATGTACACACAGCTTACTGTGTGCTGTGTTATTAGAGCAGGGAGACAGCAAACATTTAATGGATATATTATGCAACCAAGACACAAATGTGCATCTGTGTGCAGTATCTTTCTACCTTTTTTTTTTTTTGTAGAAAAGTAATATCTTTCTAAGTGCCGTTTTCAACTGCTACGTAAAAGTTTTTATGATCTGTAAATGTGTCCCCCCAAAAAAAACAAGCCATTCAAATTGAACCCACTGTGTGACCTAGAAAAGCGAATGATTATGATAAAACCTGACTGATGTTATGAACCAAAAACTTCTCAGTCTGGGACGGCAACTGAAAACTATGGTCGTTTGACTCTGGTTCAAACATAGCTAGTTGTTCTAGAGTAGTCACCAGTAGCCATTTCTATATTGCTGCTTAACTGTTGCCATGGTTACGTTAAGCCATCCTCAGGTTTTCTTCCTGTAGGAGATGTGCACAGAGGACATGTGCCTTAGCACCATTGATGATAAAGGCAGAAAAAAAAAAAAACAAACACTTGGGTAAACAATCCTGCTACGCCTAATTTTTTTTTTTTTTAACCAAGGCAATTTACATTTGAATATTACATTCATCATATTGATCGTATTGATGTCTCATATTAAACTTTCAAAAATAACTTGTTAATGTCAGGTAATAGTAATAATTTTTGAGTGAAGTTTATCCTGCAAACTGGTCTGGAAAATTCTGAATGCTTAAATTATTAAATTTTTTTTGTTGTTTTTTTTAAATGACTCGTCAGTGACCATGTCCATCATATGACCCACCTATCGTAGACGTTTAGCAGCCAGTTGAGGCACATGTCAATGCAGAGCGGAATGTTGACCAGGATGGAACGGTCCTCCTCCAGCTTCTCGTACAGAGTGGTCAGACTGTGGATCATTTCCACCACATCCATGACACGTTCCGCCTCCTGTAAATCCTGCTCTCGAAAGATGTCCACCAAACCAGTGAGCGTCACCAGGTCCACTGAAACACACCGACAGATAGACAGAAAAAATAAAAAAATGAAAAAAAAATGAAGCATCTGGACGTCTTAACTTAGCAGAGACCGAGTTTATGTGGATGAACGAAACATGAGAACAGGAGATTAAAGTGTAAATAAAGCTGATTCTGAGATCGCAATCCTGAACTCACGTCTCAGAGCCTTCTGGACTCGCCGTAGTTTCATGGCTGTTCTGTATGCTGAGAACTTGATGTTGTTCAGATCGGCTGGGGGAAAAAAAAAAAAAAAAGACAAAATTAAGTATAACAAAATGTGTTGTTTCTAATATTAAAAAAAGAGCAGTCAGGTGGATTTAAATCCAACCTTATCTAAGGAATTTGGAAGACAGAGAAGTATATGACAGTGTCATCTGCATAACGATTGATATCATGTATAATAATTCTCCAGATTACAGTGGTCCATGCTGACTGGATAACAAGGATTTATCACTGCTTCACATTGGCTGAAATCAACTGATGATCGTTCACTGATTTGTGAACTGCATTTGTTTATAACCAAATTATATTTTTTCTTTTTGTTTTGTTTGTCCCTTTCTTTTTTCGTGTGCATTTAACAATGGATTTTTTTGTGGACGTTCCTCTCATCAAAACACTAAAACACACGCTTGGGATTGAACGTTGGTGGAGATGTTACTATTATCTTCCCTAAGTGTCTGAGATGCTAAATGACAGGATCTTTCGAGGAGTGTCTCCACTGTCTTCTTACTGTCATCAGCTGCAGCTCAGCAGGGTTCTGGATCTTCTGAACAAGTCCCCCAACAGAATGACACGTTAATGATCTACTCACTCACCCAGAGCCTGGTACAGTTCTGTCATCTTTGGATGGTCCCAGCAGGTGGTCTGGGCCTGGTGGCTGAGAGAAGAGTGGACCAGAAGATGTGGTGAGAGGAGGCCGAAAAAAGACAAGAGCAGAAGCAATGGCACTGAGACAAAGAAAGATAGAAAAACAGAGACACAGACAGGGGGACGTAGAGACATAATGAACCACAAAGACATACTGAAAAACACATACAGGGACATACTGAGACACAGGGACATACTGAGATACAGAGACATACTGAGACACAGGGAAATACTGAGATAACATACTGAGACATACTGAGATACAGAGACATACTGAGGTACAGGGACATACTTAGACACAAAGACAGAGACATAATGAGACACAGAGACATACTGAGATATAGAGACATACTGAGGTACAGGGACATACTGAGATACAGGGACATACTGATACAGGGAGAGGTACAGGGACATACTGAGATACAGGGACATACTGAGATACAGGGACATACTGAGATACAGGGACATACTGAGGTACAGGGACATAATGAGATACAGGGACATAATGAGATAAAGAGACATACTGAGACACAAAGACAGAGACACAATAAGACACAGGGACATACTGAGATAAAGAGACATACTGAGACACAAAGACAGAGACATAATGAGACACAGGGACATACTGAGATAAAGAGACATACTGAGACACAAAGACAGAGACATAATGAGACACAGGGACATACTGAGATAAAGAGACATACTGAGACACAAAGACAGAGACATAATGAGACACAGGGACATACTGAGATAAAGAGACATACTGAGACACAAAGACAGAGACATAATGAGACACAGGGACATACTGAGATAAAGAGACATACTGAGACACAAAGACAGAGACATAATGAGACACAGGGACATACTGAGATAAAGAGACATACTGAGACACAAAGACAGAGACATAATGAGACACAGGGACATACTGAGATAAAGAGACATACTGAGACACAAAGACAGAGACATAATGAGACACAGGGACATACTGAGATAAAGAGACATACTGAGACACAAAGACAGAGACATAATGAGACACAGGGACATACTGAGATAAAGAGACATACTGAGACACAAAGACAGAGACATAATGAGACACAGGGACATACTGAGATAAAGAGACATACTGAGACACAAAGACAGAGACATAATGAGACACAGGGACATACTGAGATAAAGAGACATACTGAGACACAAAGACAGAGACATAATGAGACACAGGGACATACTGAGATAAAGAGACATACTGAGACACAAAGACAGAGACATAATGAGACACAGGGACATACTGAGATAAAGAGACATACTGAGACACAAAGACAGAGACATAATGAGACACAGGGACATACTGAGATAAAGAGACATACTGAGACACAAAGACAGAGACATAATGAGACACAGGGACATACTGAGATAAAGAGACATACTGAGACACAAAGACAGAGACATAATGAGACACAGGGACATACTGAGATAAAGAGACATACTGAGACACAAAGACAGAGACATAATGAGACACAGGGACATACTGAGATAAAGAGACATACTGAGACACAAAGACAGAGACATAATGAGACACAGGGACATACTGAGATAAAGAGACATACTGAGACACAAAGACAGAGACATAATGAGACACAGGGACATACTGAGATAAAGAGACATACTGAGACACAAAGACAGAGACATAATGAGACACAGGGACATACTGAGATAAAGAGACATACTGAGACACAAAGACAGAGACATAATGAGACACAGGGACATACTGAGATAAAGAGACATACTGAGACACAAAGACAGAGACATAATGAGACACAGGGACATACTGAGATAAAGAGACATACTGAGACACAAAGACAGAGACATAATGAGACACAGGGACATACTGAGATAAAGAGACATACTGAGACACAAAGACAGAGACATAATGAGACACAGGGACATACTATATATATATATGTACATATATATATATATAGCTTCACGGTGTTGTGTGGTGTGTGTGTTGTGATTGAATTATGTGTACCTGGGAACAGTGTCAGCCGACCGCAGTCATACAAGATAACGGTATGTTCAGGGTATGGGTCACATTGAAATCCTTTACTCATTTCAGATTCTAATTTACTTATTTTTTTCTCTGACTTTTTTTCTTTATTGGATTCTTTGCACATTAGTCTGTGAGAATAATAACCAGAGAGAAGGAAAAAGCGCTCAAGGTTGAATTTTCATCAAAACAGATTTACTGGAGATTGACTTACTTGATGTAATAGGGCACTTTGTTTGGTGAGATGGCTCGTTCCCATGGGATCTGCACAGAACCTGAGCAAACACACACACAAACACACAAACAAACAAATAAACCAAAACAGCTTCTAATTAATCAAAATGTAATTAAGAGTACAAAACGTGTTGCGGAGTCCTGGGAACTGATCAAGAACAGTGTTTTCAGATTAACTCAGTAGAACCTTAACTACAGTTAAGTCTCCCCTGTGCATTCCAATTACGGTCGGGGGCGCCGAAGCGGGAAAAGAGCTAACGTGTAACCAGCCGTGTTACAGGAACTGTTCGGAAAAAAAAACCATTTATTTAAGTAAAAAGGAAAAAAAAACCAAAACATTTATTTAAGTAAAAATGAAAAAATATATTTCTGTGTAAATATCCCATTTTACAACGTGGACACCTGCAGCTTATAGAGAAGTGCAGTCTATATGTAGAATTATTTTTTTTCTTTTTGAATTCAGTGGGTGCGACTTATACTCAGGTGCGCTCAATAGTCGGGAAAAGACAGTAACTTTTTTTGATTACTGATGAACAATTCTTCATAATGAGGTTGGTCTTTCTCTCTCTATCTTTTAAAATACTTTTTTTTATGAATTAATGTGGCATGTCAGTTTATCTGATTGTACGTTTTAGCTTAAAAGGAAAAAAAAAAAAGGGAGCAAGAAGGAGAGGAGAATTTTACTTGAGAGGAAGTGCTGTGATCCAGGTCCAAAGTCTCGATGAGCGTCCTGAAGCTGTTTTAACCTCTCTTCAATAGAACCCTGAAACGACACAAACATGTACGTATAAATCCACTCAGACTTCTATTATTTTTTTTTTTTTTTTGCAGCAAAAGTGATGATGCTGAGGTCTGAAAACAAACAAAAAAGGAGGGAAAACACAGAAAACACCCCGCCAAAATAAAAGAAGAATAATGACAAAAGAAACAACGAGAAATGCAAAATTCTACAAAAAAAAATGCAAGAAAGAAATTTAAATGGTAAAAGAAGACTAGGTGCCGAAGCTGGCACGTTGGGGGAAAAAAAAAAGACAAACCTCTGACAAGAACACCGTAACAACCCGAGGGAGAAGAATGTGTAAATCTAGATCGTTTCTGAAGGAGCCGAGCTGAAACAAGACGACGGAGGAGAAATCTGGCGAAACATCTGCGGCAGCTGTTTGTTAATTCATGGCTGCGCTGGAAGAATCTGCTGCTGCTGTTGTTGTTGAGACTAAAAGCTGATCACCGGGGGAACTCGCCGAGTCTCGAATGAGGCTCAGTTTGCGTGACATTTTCACAGAAACAATTTTCAACGTAAAGGTGCTGCTCACCTACGTCGTTCATGGACTTAAATAATTCACTGTCTTACTCCATGTCACACTGACACACTAACGCGGTGACTATCATGACAGCCAAGACGACTTCAGACCTCTTCATATTTCTCATTCAAATTAAACAATTTGCCTATTTTTTTAAAATATCCTATTTTTTGCCTATTTTTCTAAATATTTTTTGCCTATTTTTTAAATATTTTTAAAATATTTTTGCCTATTTTTTTAAATATTTTTTTTATATTTTTACATTTTTTTAAATATTTTTTGCCTATTTTTTTGCCTATTTTTTAAATATTTTTTTAAATATTTTTTTGCCTATTGTTTGACTATTTTTTAAATATTTTTATATATTTTTTTTATATTTTTTGCCTATTTTTTTAAATATTGTTTTTATATTTTTACATTTTTTTAAATATTTTTTGCCTATTTTTTTGCCTATTTTTTAAATATTTTTTAAAATGTTTTTTTGCTTATTTTTTAAATATTTTTATATATTTTTTTTATATATTTTTTTGCCTTTTTTAAATTTTTTTTTTTATATTTTTTTTTTATTTGCCTATAGCAAATCAAACATTTGAATTAAACAGAAATAAGTCGGGGCTGTTCTCCCGTTGTATGAGGAGTAATCAGAGTGCCAGGTGATTCATTTAAAGTCTATGTTACAACATCACACACACAAGGAAACCCATCTGCTCTGAAGCTGCAGCTGCTGCTTTAATGGCTCTTCAATGTTATCATCCCAACACTCAAATGAGCAATAAGGAGTTTTTAAGAGAATTGGAAGATGCGCCGCCTTACCGCGTTAACCACAAAATCATCGTAAAGTAGCTTTAAAGGCACGTGCTCTTCACCTTGGAAATAACAGTTTATTTATAAAATTCAATATTTAGTTAAATCATATTTTTTAAAAACAGCGGTGTCAGACATATGCTAGCTAATTAGAGCTAATTAAGTTTTGATCGTACCGGTCCGGCCCACTTGACATCTAATCAGGCTGGATGTGGTCCCTGGACTACACTGTTTTAAAATATTTATTTCAGTACGAGCACAAGAGCGACGAACTCTCACTTAATGTTTGTCGGATAATTAGCTGCCAGGGAAAAAAAAAAGTTTAATTAAAAAAGTAAAAGGATGCACTTTACTAAACTTTTTTTTTTTATGATTGTTTATTAGTGTTATGGCTCTTTTCAAATCGAACACAGAGAGAGTCTTAATTGTGGTTTTACTTTTTAAGCTGCTACAAAAACACAGCAGCTTTCGCGGTGGAAAGTCTGAAGGACCTTCAAGAAAACCTCGAAAAATCAGTGTCTTTGTTTTCATTTTTTAAGACTCAAACTCCATACTAGGTTCCAGGAAGTTTATATTTTATATTTTTGTTTTGCTTCTTATTCATTATTGACTCTGTCTGAGAATAGTTTTTACGGCAACTTAGCTTACTATGGTTGTTGGAAATATGTTATGAATAATCTTAAACGTAGAGACCGCACTGCTGCTCCATAGGTCGTTTGGTAAAAGTACTTCATTTTTACTAATTGACTTCATTCAGAGAGAATCAAGGCACATCCATTCACTCTCTTCATTTAAAGATAACATGGCGATATTTCAAAATAAAATGTCATTTAGACTCTGATACGAAAAGAATAAAGTCTAAAAGATTTTTTCTGATTCTTCAACAATTGAAGCTTGATGGTTCTTGTTTACATAGCAACGGTTGCTAGGATGTATAATTGGACTGTTTGGGAAACGTTTACAACCATGACATGAATAATTATTAGAAAAGAAAATTGTCAGCATTACGAATTAACAAGTTAACGCCATAATAAAATTCAAATTCAAATGTCCAAATATTTACACACACAAAAAAAAACCTCTAACTTATGAATGCCAACTGATGTTGCTCATGTGTGAACAGAAAGAGATGATGCTGATGTAAAGTCCAAAGACACGTACCTGCAGCACCTTCCATCTGCTGTTGAGATGTTCCAGAGCACGTGCGTTCTCCATGGACAGATGGACATCAGAGATGGCCAGCTGATGGGCGAGATCATTGACTTGCTTCATGCCTTCCTTCACCTGACCCAGCTCCTCCTTAAACAACTACAGCGAGACCACAAACAGAACAGGGTTCGATTGAAGTGCATTTCCAGTTTTCAGTTTGCCAATTAACGATAAATAAATCCACGTATTTCTACTCATAAAACACCACGGAAACGTAACGAGACCGTGTTGAATCATCTGCTGAGTGAAAGTGGGGACGGAAATGACATCACAGTGCGTTCGTTTGTTTGGATTCTACCTTGGTGGCGTCGATGTGGTCCTGCAAGGCATCGATGAAAAGATCTCCCACGGGTTCCCAGGCATCTCTGACGCCTTCGGCCTGATCTAAAGCAACAGCCAGCTCCTCCATCGCCGCCTGGATCTGCAGCAGACGCTCCAGTGTCCTCTCCATGTGTCTGAACGGTCAACAGTAAACACGTGGATCATCGATTACAATTTTTCATGTGATGTTTTCAGGACCAACCTGAATCTTGAATCGTGGGGGAAAACCTACGAGGCTGGGTTAATGTCAAACGGCGGAGCCGAGTGAGTTCTGACCTGTGTCGGTCCACGCATCTTGCCGTCAGTTTTTCCCACAGGTCACTTGCCACGTTGGCCTGTTTCCACACTGTGCGACTCACGTTCAGGATTCTCCTGCGTGGAGACACTTCTGCCCAGAAAGGGGGAAAAAAAAGTCGCACATTTGAATGAAGGGTAAAGGATAAAAAGTCTTCTTGACTTGGAGTCTGGCACGCTGCAGCAGAAACACAGAGTGAATGTTCGCAAACCTTTTCCGTCCGTCAGAGTTTCCTCTGGTTCCTGGAACGGATGCTGAGCCAAAAAGGCCTGGGCTGAATCTAGGACAGAGTAGATGAAGGGTCCTCTGGATTTTATGTCCTCCATGAAGGTCTAATGGAGGAAGAAGAGCGGGAAGGAAAAAAAAAAACTAATTAGCGTTTCGTTGCACATTTTCAGGATTAAAAGTTTGCAAATGTACACGATTGAAGTCACGGAAACACCCAGCCTGAAATGAATTCTGAAAATGTGGGAAAAGTTCCAACAGAGTTTGTTTCTGTGTTTATTATACATGACAAAATTAAAGGAGAATGGTTTTTAAACTGTTTTTTAAAAAAATCAAAAATAAAAAAATCCTGTTCAGCCAAAATGACAAAAAACCGAGGAGCTACTTAACAAACTTTAGTTTCATTATTGGTTAGTTTATGAATGATAACGATAATTTGCTCCAGTTTTGAATTTTGGCCCGCTGTGAATTTGACTTTGACACCATTCTCTTAATGGAATCGTGAGAAAAACAGAAGGTAGATCAGGACACATACAACGAACACTGCGTCGGCTGGACCGTCCAATCAGAGTGGGTTGCGAGATTATGCTGCTGTTATTTCACACACATTAACAGCACAAGTCTTTACTGAATCAACGGTTAAATCTTCAGTTTTCCCACCTTGCTTCAGTGCTTAAAACAAAAGAGCCCAAAAATATATATAATACATATCCTTTGAAGTGCACTCTACCTCCTTGATGCTCACATGACTACAGCCAATAGGACGTCTGGATTAGAGCTCAATTAGTGACAGTGGCCTGAACCTGAACCTGAGAGACTAGTCATCATTTGGAATGAAATTATATATTTATCTCCTTTATCGACCTTCACCCAACACGCTTAGCTTAGCTTAGCTTAGCTTAAATATATATTGTAACGTACACAGTCGGAATCTCCATCTCTTAAGGACACTATACCTACACAGGGTAACGATATAAGATCGTCGGATAATGCATTGGAGGTATGAATAAGACACGAGACACAGAAAGTAACGGAGGAGATGATACTGTAAGACGTCCCACTTGGTCCTCCTCTCTCATTGCTTGAAATAACACGAGATTTCCCTCGTCGTCTCAACCGTTCTGCTGCAAGATGCTCCCGAACACATTCACTTACCATCTTCTTCCTCCTCCTCCTTCCTCCTCCTCCACACACAGAAACCACAGCAGAATAAAACCACTCTCCATCAATAATTCACGTTTGTTAAAACGCCCGTTATTCTCTGCAGAAAACTCGTACGGCGGTCCTTCTCTAACTCTGTCAGAAAAGTTTAACAGCAACCGCACATTCGGGAATCACCGTCTTCTCAGATTAGAGACATGTCGGCCATGAAAACAAGACAAGTTATTGAAGAGAGAGAGGGAGAGAGAGAGAGAGAGGACGAGTAAAGATACAAGGAAAAATGGTACCAGATTTGACTCTATTTCAGATTATAATTAGGTTAAGTCTTTTGTTCATTAGGGCGTTTTTTTTTTCTTCATTGATTTTCATTACGTGAAAATGTGTATTCAAAAAAAAAAAAAAATCAAGTGATGCACACCGGTCTGCTGGGAAATAATGAGGGAGTTTTCAGATCCAGCACTTCTAGGGATTTAGTTACTGTGCCAACAGGAGAAGTGTTTTTTTTATATATATATTTATGTTTTTTGTGTTTTTATTTTTACTTGAAAAAAACATGATAAAACAATTGTACATCGTTTCCGTCTGTCACGTCAGTAGATTCAATAAATCTGTTGGGTTTTTTTTTTGTTTTTTTTTTTCACTTCAAATAGAACTTGACACGGCAACACGCTGTGATTGTTTCTGTCGGAGCGATAACAAAAGCGTTAGAAAAAAAATATCATTTTAAGGATGACAGTAAATAATCTGAAATGTGCCATCTGTTGCTTAAACCCGCTGGAGGGAAGTGGTGGGAGGACAGATCAGCACACAAGAGGATTGGAGGAAAGATCATAGACGACAATTAAGGGGCGAGTTAGGAAAGTTAATTTAAGCTTAAAAAGCTAAAGCTAGTTTTTTTTTTTTTTTTTAGTTTTTTTTTTTAATGGCATAATTGTGGGTTCCAGGATCACTGTTGATGGAGGTGTACGGCTACACTGACGCACACTGGTCTGGACTATTGATATTGAGGTTCCTGTATAAAAAAATATAAAAAATGTTGGTGATAATTATTACAGATCTGTTGTTTTTTTCCCCAAGAAACAAATCAGTCAAAGAAAGGTTACGAGCTCCGGTTAAAACAAGCAAAAAATAACCTTGTTTTTGCCTCTCACCTCATCTCGACCCCTGCCAGCTGCTCGCCAAAACCCGATAGCAATATTTACAATTATTTAATATCATATAATAATATAATATTTTGATTGTCCTTCATGAAGTTATGACTGATTTGGTCAAACTTGTTGCAAATTTAACATAGCACATTGTAGAGTGCCTTCTAGTGGACGTGGGAGGTAATAATACAGTAAGTGCGTCTATAATGAGCTTAAAAACATTTTTTAAAATGTACTTGCACTGCAGAGTCCTGCACTGTAACGTAATATTAAAAAGAAAAATCTAAAGATTTTTAAGAATTTTTTAAAAAAAAAAAAAGAGAAGAAGAAAAAAAAAACACAATTTAATCCTGTACTTAATCCTGTCTGAACATGACATAGAAAATAAAATGTTATAACCTGAAAAGCATCTTGTTAAAACAAAAAAAAAGAAATTTTTTTATAACCTGAAAAGCATCTTGTTAAAAAATAAATTTCTTGTCATAATGTGAACAATTACAGGTCACGGCGTAACCTTTACTCTCCTACTGAAAGCAAAAGGAAAATGTAGGAATACTGAAATTCTAACAAGGTGGTAACCCTGATCCAGAGAGTTCAATTTCATTTTATACTCACATAAATAAAGCAGTCGTATAAGGTCAGCGCTACAGTACTGCAAACCTCAGGAGAAGAAATAAAACTATGTGCTGCATGATTGATTAGTTCACTTTGATGGATGGTTCCTGGGGCACATAAATTATCCACACTTAACTTCAGAGCGCTGTTATCCAACAGACAGTTAAATAAATCAAGAGACAAAAAAAGATTCAAAAACACAAACAGACTAGGATGGTAATTTGAATATTTTAAAATGCACTTTCCAGCAGCAGGAACGTTTGTTTCAGGGTAAATGACCTTTGATTTGATTCAGAATTTCAGCTTTAAAAAAAAAAAAAAAAAAAATCAATAATGTTTCAAATTTTAATTTAAAAGCCAGAGGCAAAAAGAAACCGCTTTTTTTTTGTTTCTCCATTTTTCCATTTGACATCTTCTCCTTCGACATTACAAAATAAGGATTTGAACGAGAATGTAAGGTCTTTTAAACCAGCTGTAGCCAAAATAAAATCAATCAAACAAAGTTTGTATGAGCGGCTAAGTTTTAAATGTACGCCGAAAGGAAAAAAAAAAACCCAAAAAAACAAAACTCCAGACCTGCTGTTGTCCTCTCTGGTTTAGAATAACCAAACACTAAATCTCTAAATCATGTGTAAACCAGGTTTAAACGGAAGTGGGAAGAAGTTCACAGATAAAACCTTCTATGCCAAGACCTCGCATCCTGTGTGGGTGTATTTATTCTCTGTGTTTAAAAAAATAAAATGACAAATAAACGTCGCACGTCGTCCGTCAGAGCTTCCAACTGCTGATGTTGTCAATGATGATGTGTTTTACCTGGTGGAACTCCCTCTGCTGCTGCACAGCCTCCACATCGCCCCCTATGGGCAGCTGCTCTGACAGCTCCTCGTCTTTGGCCGTCAGCCATTCAATGATCTCCTGAAGCGACAGCTGCAGCTTCCCACTGTTGTCAGAGAAGGCCTCCAGACGCGCCCTGCACACAGACACAGTTGGTTATTTTGGACACGGAGGTGACGAAAAACACCGTTATATCTGACTGTACATGTAACTGTTTTATAATTGCACTTATTTTGCTTATATATACGTACGTATACATAACATAGAGATAATGCGGTATACTTTGGTATACATTTAATTCAATAACAGGGATTACAATATTAACACACACAAACAAACAACAATAATTACCGTATTTTCTGGACTATAAGCGGCACCTTATTTCATACCAGGCCTGTTTGTGCAACTTACTTATACTCGGGTGCGACTAATACTGTATATTAAAATGTATAAATTTCACGTGTTTGTTATTTTCACACTGACAGCCACTAGAGGGCACTCTAGCTTATACTCCGGAGTGACTTATATGTATATGAGGGTTTTTTTTTCTTATTTTTTATGCATCTTTTTGATGGTGCGACTAATACTCCAGAGCGACTTATAGTCCGGAAAATACGGTATCTAATAATTTACTAATTATAAACTATTACTATTAATATCGACTGTTCAGGTTTTCCCTATTCTTTGATGGTGTGCTGCTGCTCCCGTTTGTATTATATTCAATCTATCTATCTATCCATCCATCCATCCATCCATCCATCCATCCATCCATCCATCCATCCATCTGTGATGCAGCAAGTCAATTCCCATCCATGTAAAGCCCCTACAACGACTCAAAGACTATTACATTCAGAGACTGATCTGAGATCAGAAGTCTTTCATCCCCCGTACTTTCTTTTGTTGTCCTCTGACCAGAAAACACTAAACGGCAATGAGCCACTACTTGCTTTGCCCACCTCTTTGGTGGTGGGAAGACCTTAAGACTACTTTGTATAACCATGGCAACAGTTAAGCAGTGAAGGAGGAATGGCTGCCAGTTAGCGACTGAATTGGACATACGTCCGATTGTAACTCAAGCAGCTGAGTATTTCTCAAGTAGAGCATACCGTTCTGGCGGGAAAAGGTGAGAAAATAAAACTGATCAGGAAGTTTCGCAGTAATAGATACAGTGGAACTTTGGTTGTCCAATAAACTGATCAGGAAGTTTCGCAGTAATAGGTACAGTGAAACTTTTCGAACAATTCGGTTCATGAAGAAAATGTTTAATCAAAAATTGCCCCCCGGTTGTCGTACTATAACTCGCCGCTATTTCTTTTATTTTCTTCATTTCATAAATCACCATGAGAAAGAAAAGCAGTGAGAACAACAATAGAAGTAAAGAAAGAGATTATACGACAGCATAAGAAGTCGTCGATTTGTACCATCGTTAAGAACAAGGAAGCAATAAAGGAAGCTAACGTTGCCAAAGGAGTGACTGTGGTCAACAAGCAAAGATCGCAGAAAATAGAAGAAGTGGAAAAGCTGCTGTTGATTTGGATCCACGAAAAGCCGTTGGTCGGCGACAATATCTCGGAGACAATAATTTGTGAGAAAGCGAAGCCAACATTGAGCAATCACGACTCCTCAGCACCGGTAAGGATGACTGAAATTGCCTTTCCTAGTTGAAGCTTTAATCTTTCTTCAGTTTTGTTTATCTTTTTTGGTTAGATCTAATGATTTTCATTGGTTTCTTGTATGAACCTGTACACAAACTACTGTTAGAGGTCCAGGAACAAATTCTCATGGGGAAAATGGTGAGTGCCCCAATATCTAGATTTACAAATACTGTATTATAACCCAATTCATTTGCCCTTAAAAAAAAACCCTAACTACAAATACCCTTAAATCGCAAAAACACGTGACAAAACAACCGCAGTTTCCAATCAGCTATTTGCAGTAGTAGTTGCTGTCCCAGTCTACGGAGCTGAGAACGACAGTGATAGGGCAATACAAGTCAAGGAAATGGCAGATACTTGTTACGATTAGTAGTAGTACTATGGGTGGAGCTACCAAGTACCAGCTCTGTGCTCATTATGATCACAGGTTTATACGTAGAGACCGATTGGCAGATTTCTAAAAGTTTAGTGAATTGTTATGATTGGCACTTGAGGAATAGACAGACACAAATGTCTGGTTTTGCGTATTGTAAAAAAAGTCTTTAATAAAGCTAGCTAAAAAGTTAATCGACTAGTAAGCATCCATCTCTTTACTTAAAGACAATCTGAGTACACGGCTCTGATTCAGGAAAGAACATTTTTTAAATACTGAAAAACTGAATGCCATTTGTGAAAAATAGAAAAAACAGTGTCAAGTAAATGTCGCCGTCTTAACCCTGTCAGAGTGAAAGGACTGGATTCGGTGATGCAATCGTGCCGAGCTTCTTACAGAAGATAAAAATAAAGCAGTGCCTGAAGGTCCAGTAAAAACTTTCTTTTTTTAAAACTCCCGTCCTCTGTCTCCCCCTCCGTTCCGGAGCTGAGAAAACTGCGAACAGCTCAGTGTGACATGACATTATTGTGACATCACAGCACTGCGAGTGTGCTGACGCCTAGACTGGACGTTTGTTTGTATGTTTGTTTGTTTGTTTGTTTTTTTTATGAGATTCAGATTCTCAGAGCAGACGCTGGAGGTCCGTCTGTGTTCGTCTGCGTCACGCAGCTGCTGTGACTTCTGTTGCGTCGTCGTTCTTACACTACTGTTGCACCGTGTCGCATTTGTGTCACTACAAAAGAAGGGACAGGACAAGGCAGTGGATGTGGGAAAAGAACTCTCACGCACCACAGTCCATGTAAAAAAAGAAAAAACCCATAGGATTCAGGAGTAAGTAAATAAAGAAATACACTCAAGTCACGTAAATACACTTTCCGGTACTACGAACAGACGGTTTAAGCTATCGCCAGGACTCCAGTCATATCACATGGATGGGGGCGACACTGGCTACCCCTGGAATCTGATTTGCTACACTACTTGGACACCTCTTTTAGAGCTGTCCATCAGCGTACTCGAGTAATACTACGAAATTACTTGACATCTACAAGACAAAAAAAAAAAAGACCTACCGTTTGGATTAATTTCCAATCATTTTTATTGACTTGCAACTTTTGAATTAAGGTCAATGAGTAAGTTGCATACAGTTAGCATAGTGTGCTAGCTTAGCATAATGACTTAGCGTATACGAAACATTAGCCTGCACTTTGCGCCACTGTAACAAACATCGCAGCAACAAGCGCTGTTGTTTTCACCCATGTCTGAAAAAAGATCTAGATTAATTTTAAGGGAAATTATAGCATTCGTGAATAATATAAATACATTATATTGTAATATGTAATATCTAACCTAATTTTCTTTCTTAGAATGACTTCCACTAACCCGGTATTTTGGGTAAATTAACTCGCAATTCACTAAAATCTCTAAGCCTGTTTAGTTGAACACAACACTGATATACTCACAGGAATTGAAGAAAGACGCAAAGATCTTCAAAAGCTCTGATTCTCTTTTTTGTTTTTGTTTTTTTGCTGCCACCTAGTGAAAGAGCATTTAATTGTTCTGCCTCTCACGCATTGACGAACAAAGTAAAAATTATTTGCTGCTTCTTAACTGAAGTTTGCGCGAGAGGATTCTGTGACACAGTTTTACCGAGTTGGGGAACCAATAGGGGAAGACTAGGAATTTGGGAGCTTTCCTCATTTGCATGCATACGCAGTAAGTGTGGGAATATAGACAGAATGTCGGAATGACAGGAGGTTTTTCCACTCAGTGTGGGCGGATTCCCTCTGCAGTATCTAAACCATGTGGAAAAACAAATTCCTGACATGCTGTGAACACCTACATCCTGCTGCTGCTGATGCTGCTGCTTGTTGTTTTCTGCAGCTCCAACTTCAACAGTCGCTGACGCTGGGGATCTGAGGATCAAGGTTCATTTCATGTCTCTCAGCTGCTTTTCTTGGTTCCGTGTATGTTTGCGTAATTTTGTTGAATGTTTGCCCCCCCCTTTTTTTTAAAAAGTATTTTCACCACCTATAAAGTGACGATTCTAATTCTGTTTTTTTTAATTTGAACTAACCATTAAAGCATCTCGACTTGTTCTGAAAATAATAATTTTAAATTGTCTGTAATAAACAACATTTTTAGACAGATCATTAAAAAGGGACAGTAATAATTTAACTTTGTAGGCATGTAGCTGAGCTTCTTAAAGTTACAAAAAAAAAGTCTATGTCTATTTTAATACAAAAATAAAAAATAAAAAAAAAGAGGTCCATAGGTCATTTGGTACCAGGGCCGCAGTGGGACACAGTAAAAAAAATGTACTGCAGTTTTACTAATTTACTTCATTCAAAAAGTCATAACCCTTAATTTTTTTCAATTTGAGGAAAATCTGACAATGTTTCAAAACAATAGGTCATTCAGACTCTGATAGTAACAGAACAAAGTCTAAAGTCCAGCTTTGTTCTGGACAGACCTGCTTAGATCTGGATTGACTTAGTCAGATTTTTCTATTAAATTTATAGGCATTGGACAACATGCCGTGTTACATTTCATTCATTCATTCCATCCATCCCCCTCTAATGGCACTGTGCCCACCTCAGGGCTCACGCCCTCCACTTTGGAAACCTCTTTAACGTGTGGTTCTGCCCCCCTGACATCAAAACATGTCAGAAAAAGAGCAGGTTTAAAACAATCAGAGTAAAACTCTGACTCACCGGATGTTGTGGGATTTGCGTTTGATCTCACTCCAGCACAGATTCATGTCTCCTGTCTGCTGAAGGATGTCTCCTCGAAGTCTCACACACTCTGTGGAGTCCTCCTGCCCCTCAGCGTCCACCGTAGACTGACAGGGCACACAGTGGCATCGCGGCCACGAGGGCCGCCCCGCAGCTGGACACATACAGAGAAATGAGGAGAGAAAGTCTTCATGAAATACAGATTTAAAAGAAATAATAATATAAATAACATCCAACAGTTTTCACTAATAATATAAATAACATCCAACAGTTTTTAGTCGCTTATCCGTTAACGGGTCGCGGAGGACAGCAGTCTCCACGATCGCGATCGGAAGGTACCAACCGCCCTAACCGGGATTCGATCTTACCCAGGAGGTGAACCCTGGGGTTCCACACCAACGACAGAGACTCTCTCTAGGCCAAAGCGCCACCAATATAAATAACAAATATTAAAAATACATGAAAATGATCCCAGGTATGGCGAGGACCCAAGAGCAGCACAACCAGGTCTGGTTTAAACCCAGTCTTTTATTCAAGCTACAACAGGCTCACTTCTTCAGTTAGCACAGGTTGACGAGTTGAACCAGGAAACAACCAGCAAGGCTGGAGGGTTTACCGGGGCAGAGAAAAGGAAAAGGTCAAGGCAGGTCAGGGAAGCAGTTAAGATAATCAGACGAAGAGTGAACGGAGTGGAGCAGGCGGAGGAAGTTCTGCTGATTAGTTCTGCTGATTAGGGGGCGTGGCCGCAGGAGTGATTGAGCGGAGGACCGACACGGTGAGCAGGTGGAGAGCAGTTACGTAGATGAGGGAGCGTGGCTGCAGAGGAGCAGACAACAGAACAACAGCACCCTGCTACATCTGACAGAAAAATGTCAGAAAAGAAAGTCAGAAACACAAAAGGAAGGTTGAGGATGTTTGTGAATTAAAACTTAAAAATATATTGTTATGAAACCTATACCTGGATTGAGAATACAGTTTTTTTAAATGAATTTTCGAACAAAATACATACAAAAAAACAAAACAAGTGTTGCTAATACCTGGCATAGAGCACAAGAAAACACGCAGGAATACATCCATCGACGTTCTGTCTGAGATCCACGTGTCTGAGTTTTGGAGTCACCAGGGTTTAACTGGTCAATACCGCTCTAAAACCTCTGACCTTTGTAGCACTCTCTGCTAATGCAGCACACACGTGTACATTCAATAACCCCACTATATATATATATATATATATACAGTATATCTGGCTGTCAATCAATTACTGTCAATACGACTTCAACACTACGGTCGGGGTTGTATGTATGTATAACACAGAAAAAAAAACTCACATTGTACCACACTCCCTTGTACTCCCTGCAGGGTTCTTACTAGCGTAGTCACTTCGTCCGCTCTATGATCAGGTGAGTGCAAATTTGCCTCAATGACGGCGCGTACGGCGGGTTTGTAAATACTCTATGTTCTCTCCTTCTCCAGTTACTACAATTTGCTACGGTTCATTGCAGGGGTCACCAACACGGTGCTCGGGGGTCATCTTAGCCCTAGCCCTAGGTGAGATGTCCTCAAAATCAAACTAGTCAACAAGAGGGTCAACAACTGTACCGTTACTGTACTACAGTATTCAGGAAGTCTGTATCAAACAAGTCGCTCTTGGAATTACCAAGTACCCCTGAAGTAGCTCTCAGTTTCCAAAAGCCTGGTGACCGCTGGTTTGTTGGCGATCATCTCGTAGCTGGTGGAGAACGCTAGCTGAGAAGGGCTACCGTTTCAGCTGCTAGCACCACATTGTTGTTCTCTGAGCTGGAGCAGTGGGAGAGGTTTGCAGCAGCAGCAGCAGCAGCAGCCAGTCTTCTGGTCTAGAGTCGCTGAGGGTAATTTGCCACTGAGCCCTTAGAGTCACGTTCCCCAGTGAACCTAGCCGTATTATGTCTCGGCTCCCGTTGTGTTGAAGTCCAAGGCTATTTGTGTCCAATCTTCTTTACCTTTACTGTGATGGAGAGGTCAACTCTCCTTCCGACCTTTTGTACTTTTCTCTCTTTTTTTACTCTATAGAACGTTGAGCTACTGGAGTAGCTTTGTTTACTTAAAAAATATATCTCAACATCTTCCCACCTCAGACTATCTTCTGAATTTCACTTCTTCCTTGTAGTTACTCCCAGTGAGTCGATAAACTCTCAGCATCGTCTGTCATTAATCTGCGTTCTAAATAATTCAACGAACGCAATGTGTTGTTTTTTTTTGTCCAATCTATTCATCACAACTAATCTCTGTATAATAATCTAATAATAATAATAATGATAATTTATGAACTTGTCCGTCGGAGTAGAGTTTGTGTCCGTGTCGTAGGAGTGGGTTTTTGAAGTAAGCTGCTATCTGACATCACGGAGCCATTCGTTTCAGGATAACCTGGATTCTTAACCCGGTTAATGACAGGAAAGGTTGCCGTGCCCTGACGTAAACCATCCTATAATGCTGCCATAAAAAAATCTTCGTTTGTTTCGTTGCCAAATCACAGGGAGACATTAAGGAATGCAGACGCATTACAAGACACTTGATCTTAGCAACTAAACACCAGAGACAATGTGTTTAGATAATCTAAAGATAAGTAAAGAGGTGATGAGACGAGTCCTACCTGATTAGAGACCAGCCCTTGATTGGAACCGGTTGGTCAGAGTAAAATCAGACGAACCCAGTCGACGCGCTTCGCAAAAGGAGGACGGACACAAGGACATGAGCAGATGGACGTGGACACAGGGATGAGTGGAGACTTTTGTTTTTCCT